TTCATTCGATAAGTATTTTGTAAATGAATCACAACACTGTTTTGAAAGCTTTCAATAATGTATAGTTTGCGGTGATGACATTTCACTAGTTCTAAAAACAAAACTTGATACGCAAATCAAAAGAAAGTTACTGTTGTTTATGGTTAGTTATGGAAGAACAAAGGACAGAGGAACTGTCATCAAGATTTCGACCGTTCACTTTGAAGATACCTTCATGGAGTTTGTACCATGTCATGAATGTGATTTCATCATCTGGTGCTCACAACAACTGGCGATCAGGATTTTTGTGATCTTGGTGACCGAAAGTGGTGAAAGAGAGCGCTGAGGACTATGATGAGCATCTCTGGAAAGACTTCATCTTTCCCACTTTCGCTTGTTCGAAAATTCACAAGACTGATCAAAATTTTGCTTAATCAGTTAACACTTCAGCCATTCGCCAAATCAGTGCCATCGCCAAGCTTTTGATTCCAATTTTGAACAGTGAAATTCTGAAACGGTTCGAAAATCTCTGTCAAATCAAGTACTGCTTCGAATACAGTGAACAATAAGAGACTGACGAACAACTTGGAGGATGCAGCTAGGCTCTTGCATGATTTTTTTTCACCGAAAGACCACAATGCAATGGCATCAATATGCTATTTTTCTTATTCTGAAATCTACTATTTATTGGCTTTAGCAAATTTTACAAAATCTCGTGACATTTCGTGGTCACTGATAAAATAATAATAATTTCGAAATGAATTTCGTCAATAGTTACAGCTCAACTGAAGGGATTTCGGATTTGTATCGATTCCCTCATGTTTTCCAATTTCTGAAACGACCCTTGTTTATCAGTAGTTTTGGGCATGGCAAACGTGCAATAATTTCGAGCTTAATCTCCTGACGTTTTTAATTTTTATTTGATTGTTTATTTGATTAGCTTCACATTTGTAATTAGCTTCAAGGTTTATATGACTATTTTAATGCGGCAATGATGCTTTTCATATCAATGAAAATCCGAGTTTTTGATGCGAATACGCTAGCATTGGTGGCAGATAATGAAGACTGTCTTTGCTGAGTGAGTAATGTTGTTGTTAGCTTTGCTTTCGTTCACTTGAATTTCTTATAAAATATTGATGCTTCAGTGAGCACCTCAGTATCTGTTATGGTATCATGCATTACTGAAGCGTTATATTATTACGTAACATTTAGTCAGTTAAGTGACATGTGTCAAATGGACCATATGCCTTGAACGGTCGGTATCCTTTGCATTCATATCAATCTTAAATCAAAACCATTGCATGAGAAAGGGAATTAGCCGCAGTGAATAATCACTCATCCTGTTTGCTTGTATCTTTATCGCGCATTCTCGCTTGTATCTCAATAAATTCACGAATCTGCATTAATGAAACCCCCACTTTTTAATTGCCGAACACCTCCGTGTGCAATAATCACACACGGCAATAGAACTTGATTGCCAACAAATACAAACCACAAGTCAGAAATTGTGTTCGAAACAGCGGACTCGTTGCCAGTTAAAAGGATTTATTTTATACAACGAATGGAGGTGAAGTTTTAAAAAATCCAAGTTCCCTCCGCCACATAACATTTCGTACTGCTAAACTTTTCTCAAGAATTTCAATTCAAACTGCAAAAGTGAGTAACATTGCATGGTCGTCGATGTGTAAAGTAAGCATCTATGAGGGAATCACTCAGCAGATGATCGTCATCTCGATGNGCACACTCTAAACGCTTATTTTCACGTTAAATGTGCACATCCTCGTCTAATATCCTACAGTCGTATGCAAAGCATTAACTAGAAACATTCATCATACGGTTACTATGAAATAGTCGCAACTTTCCCTAAACACGAAAAACAAAGTGCCTGAAAGACTACTACTGCATAGAACATTATGTTCTGCTTCAACAATTAATCCATTCAGCAACAGAACCGATGAGATGCTGTTGCGCACGCGAATTTTAAAGTATGTAAACAAGCGAAAATTGTCTGGTGAGCAGTGCGTGACACATGATAAACTTTCTCAATGAAGGGCACTTCTCTGTGGGGTGGCATACACAACGAAGGGTCAGCAACACTGATATGTTTACATCATCATTATCCTACTGAAATAAACCGTTTTGTGTCAATTTTTTGGACAGCTATTTCATGCCACGAAAATCGTTCACTCACGTATTATTTGATAAACCACTCATATCTTTGATTTATTAAGAGAAGACCAGTTGAAATTTCTATTTTTTTTTAAAAATTCAGTTGGTGAGTACCAGTGGAGACGAACAATTATTGCTTGGGAGTGGAGCATTGAGCAAAGGCAAAATTAAATGTGAGAGTATGCCCAGATTAAAGAATAGGGCAAGAAATGAAGAATTTTCGAAATAATAGGTTACTAAAAAAATAGCATCAATTTTCGAAATAGCAGGTTACTCAATTCTAAGCCATCAGAAGTGATCAAAACTTGGTGATTAGCGGAAAGGATCAACACTGATTCTTGAAATAATCCGTTTCAAAAAAAAACAACTGCAACGGTGGCATTCGTGATGAGAGCAGTATTTTAATTGAAGTAAACAATTTCGACTGAACCGAATTGCATTTGAAGTTGGCTGGATGACAAGCTGAATTAGTTGGTTTTGTTAAGGTGTTCGAATGATAGCCACTAGATTTGAATGTGGCCATCTTTCCGTTTCCAACTGAAGCAGCCACCGCAGAGGAACTATTGAATGCGAACTCTGATTATGTTCCTTGTTTCCAATGAAGAATGAAAATTCAACCCAGGTAGATGGCGATCCTAAAACACCTATTATTCTTCAAGACAGTAGCCGAATGAGAACTGGAATTTGTTCATGATGTTGTACGAATGAACATGAAAGGCGATAAATATTTCGATCATAATCAGGAAAACATCGATCGATGTCAGTGATGGCAAATGCACATTCACATGCAAAGTGTACTCAATTCTACTCTTAAACTTTATTTGATTCTCACTTCTAAATTATAACATCTTTTGGAATGAATGAGTTTAATGAATGTTTAACAATCCATTGATTCAAGAGTCACAAAATGACGAGCATGAAACTGAGTGAGACGAAATCAGCAGAATAATGTAACTAGTTCAGTCGAAATGCACGATCAATCTTAAACAGCTGGGAAGAGTTTGAATTTTTATTTGTAAAATATACTTCGTGGTTAGTCGAGATGAGATGCATATTCATTCATCTTATAATAACTATTATTTCCCTAATACCCATCCAACCAAGTCTTAAGATGGGATTTAGCTGCGCACTCATAAACAGCCGTATGCGCGTGTTAGTATTAGTTCTCGATTGATGGGTGTGTCAGAAAGGCTACCGTACATTAAACAAAGAAGCGTGCTAGTTGCTGGCTATTGGTCGAAAATGAAAAGAATATGTGAATGAAGAAGCTTGTTCATTAAGCTTATGGGACAGTTGCTTTAGGCTTTAGAGATAACCAGGCTGCTCCTTCGGAAAGCCTAGTGGATCAAGTCGTGTCGTATTTATTAATCTGATTGTTTCGAGAACGACACCGATTCTCTTTGTGCCCAATAATCCCGGAGACTTGTCCAGAGCTTCGAAGCTCAATGCAATAACGCAGTATTGCTATTAAAACAAAACGAGTGTTAAGCCGAATATTTAACGTAATCCACGTTAGCTCAACACGGATCGTCCGATGGATTTAGACATGCAGCAACATCAACAACATAATCGAACAGGCGCCACCGCCTTTTCGAACCACCTTATGACAGTTTCAGCACTCGATATTGCTGCTGGCACAGGCAGTGCACTGAGCACAGGCACCGGTAGTGCTTTGTTGTTCGATAATTCATCGTCACTTTTATCATCGTCCTCTGCATCTTCCATAAACACTATCACTGCAGCCACCACATTATGCCCCCCGATCACCACGCCATCATCGAGTATTTTTTCAACTGCTCAACATGATATCTACCGACTGCCAAACGTTACCACCACTTCACAGATCAATGACAATTCCAGCAATATTGCCGGAAAACTACCGAAAAGTCAGTAAGAGAATTTTTTCAAGGATATTGTTTGGAGTGTAACGAAGATAGGATGAATTTAAACATAACTTCACCATTATGAAATCTCTCAAAATCATCGCTTCATTCGATTTCTTTTGCATAGTTGCAAGAATCGTGTTAAAAATTGTGTGCGGCAGTCTCCGCAAACTGACAGCGCTGGGCCTCAAATTCATCTCTAGACGGACGACGTCGTAAAGCATGACTGAAATCATTCCAGAGTGCTCCTTATAAGGACAAAGCTAGCAGAGCATCAGCCTTCTGAAGCACCATCCAGAATGGGTGCATGAGCATGCCGAATAGTTTGGGCTCGAGTGTGCGCTAAATTTTCTGCTTACAAACGATTAAATTCGAAATAATTTTCAGTTGAGAATACTAAAGATGATTACGATGTCGCTCCAACAGCGAACAGCACACAGCAGAATTCAGGCGGCTCTCCTGAAGCATGTCTGATCAGCAATCAGAAGCCTCGACGCCAACGTACTCACTTCACCAGTCATCAGGTATGCAGTTCAAATACGCCTGAAATTCTAAGAACCAATAAAGAATTCGTTCATTTTCTGTCGTCGAATTCCTTCCGAAAGGTTGTCACAAAAGAAAAGAGATAAATATGATGGAGAAAGCGGATAAGATCTTAAGAAAATCTTCAACGATTTCAGTTTCTTCGCCAAATATTATGAAAATGACGTTTTAAGATTAACAATCAGCTGATGCAATAGATTAACGGATGGAAACCTCACTTACGAGTTTCACTAGTCGGATTGAAGCTGGTTGTTCGTTGACGAAGGTTTCTTCCTTCCCGAAATGAGAGCAAAATTACTGATTTATAGTTATAAGCTTTCCATTTGCAGTTGACTGAACTGGAAAATTGGTTCTCTCGCAATCGGTATCCGGATATGGCGACACGGGAGGAGATTGCGCTGTGGATAAGTCTGACGGAACCTCGTGTTCGGGTTTGTTCTAAACCATTTCGTTGGGGGTTGACTGCTTCACAAAAAAATGTTTCTCAGTGAGAACCTAGGTTCTACTTTGGCACCGTACATCTTTTCGTCACAGGCGATTATCGATTTGCCATTTGAAACTATAAAGGTCCAAAAAGAAATGAATATCTTCGAGCTACCAAATTCTACTAATCTCTTGCTGCAGAAGAAAATGAAGCCGAAAATATCAGAAAGACGGGTTGAAGGATAGTACTGATAAGTAGATCAAATGAAAATGTTACAGAGCACCATCATCATACTTCGAGCTNATGAGTTCAGATTTTGGTAGTTTTGAATCTAAGCGAACTTGATGTATGGTCTGAACAAGAACAATATAAGAGATATTGGTGCAGATGATTAGGTGAATGATGCGGAATTTAATTGAACAAAGACAGATAGGTTCAATTCCCAGTGGATTGCACTCATCGACGGAATAAGATTATTTAGTTTGTGTGATTAACAAAACTGTTTATCGTCTCACCGAATGCACATATTCGGTCTTATGCACATTGTATTCGTAATTAATGAGTTTTATTCACTGTTGTTAATTCGGTTAGAATGTGATTAGCTCATCATTACAGTTTCATTGAATTCGCATGTTGCCATTCACCAAAGCCATTCGCCTATATTATCCTATTAGGATTTCCAACGGTCAAACTTTGTGTCTCACCCTTTCAAACTGATCGCGCTTTCCTCTTTTCCATTCATCTTTTCTCACCACACTCACCAATTTCAGTTGTTACCTCTTTTAGTTCAGAGAGATATTTAGTGGAAATCTTGGCGATTAGAATAACAAAGAATTTTGAAATAAATTCGGAGGAAAATTAGTGATGAGTTTTCGCGGAAATCTTTCGTTCAGGCGGACATATGCTGTTCGGATAAGGGAATGACAAGCGTGGAATGAGGAGAAAGTGAGTACGGTGGTGCGCGAAATGCTTGCGTAATCGATATAATGAATGAACGCAAAGAGGAGAATGAAGGGTGCAATGGTGCGTGAATTGAGTGCACCAATAAAATAACGTTTTGTTTGCGGTTTCTTATTTGCGCTATCAATGCCGTCATCATCATTCATTCTCATTTGCTTGATCAATTATTATATGATTGTGATCTTGTTTACTGTTCTCTTCTGAATGTGCTTAGTTTTCACATGTCGCATTCATGATAAAGCCGTCTCTTTCGATATCTTCCAATGGCAAGATTGCATTATTCCGATGTTTAGCAAAATTTGCTGCTGCATTACTTTTGATACTGATTCATCGAATTCGATAACTCGTTAATATTCTTGACTGAGACATTTAACCGCTCATTAAAGAGATAATCACCTACAAATTGTTACAATTACAAAAACGGAATTGATCATGAAACGTGGTTTGCTTGCGGTTGGTTGGTAATTCGCCACCAAAAATTCATGGGATTCCATTAAATGCTGCTGTGTTCATGACTGGACGTGAAAGGGATTCGAAATTTTGCGAACAAATATCATTAATACCGTTTTGCGGAATTATGCAAGAGTTTCTAACAACGCTTCATTTACCGTATTCTTTCATTCAAGCTCAATGAAGCGACCTCCATATGTACGTTATATGTATTTGAGAATACTTCACAATTTCAATAAACTACTCAAATATGGAGTAAATTTTAGGTTTGGTTCAAAAATCGACGTGCAAAATGGCGCAAACGAGAGAGACACTTGATAACACCCGAATTCAAAACATTCCAATCGCCAACTTGCTTCTCTCAAGCGCTGCTTCCAACACATCCACAGGTTACAGATTTCTTTCTCGAATATTTTGGAGGTGAAGGACACTTCGATTAAACCAACAGAGGTGTAGCCTTCAGATTACTTCTCGGGCTCACTTCTGGGAAAATACTCAAAGGAAAACAAAAAGTATTGAAGAAATCAGGCAAGATTCACTGAAATTACATCTGGCTTACTCATCGCAAATATATTCTGTGATCTTGACTTCAATTATTTTTACGAAGATTATTTCAAAGAATATGCATGCAGCAATTTCAGCTTGATGACATGTACGGTCCATCCTCTTCATGGCAAACTTATCCTACACGTACTCCAACGTCCGCATTTGGATGGGCTCTGAAATCACAGGTGGGTTGAAGTTGGCGATTTTCATCTATTTCCTTCTCAATCCTGTGATCATCCAGTTAACACGACTTTCCAGTTCGGAAAATAATTTCAAGTCTATTCGTTTTTTTTAAAACCCATTCGTGGATGCCTGTCATATGTTTGTAACAACAGTGGCGACACCGATCGGAAACTTGGTTTCAACAGTCAAAGAATGGCGAATTCTTCAGGCGCCTCTGCAACATTCATTTCCTCAGCTGATGACACCAGCATCATCGAATAACGCTGCAGCAATTTCACGTTTCACATCCGCGCCTACGGCGTTCTACGGTGGCACACAAACTAGCGTACTGCCGAAAGATGACAAATTCAAGATCGACCCTCATGCGTACTGCACTTCATCACAGATGCCAGCCATTAATCAGTCGCAAACTGGTTTCTCTCTACAATCGTATCCGTACAATGGACCGTTGTGACTTTGATTGCTTTACTCTTCCGACTTTAAATAACTATCACAGAATCGTTTCGTACTTATATTATAATAATTATTTATTAATTACATACTTATAACTTATGTATTAATTTGTTTGCTAGCAATGAATGTTTTAATTGTTTCAACTGTAACGTTTCGATCTTCGTTGTCGCACTCAAGAACGGATGTTAAGCATCATTATCAGCTGCATTTTCTCTGCAGAAGCATTAAATTGTGATACTGTAGGCAAGCATCATTTTTTAGTTGTCATTGCATTCCAAAGGAGTACGTTGGTTTTCCATAACATTCTGATGGACAGTGATCTCAAAATAACAGAAGGTTGAGGGTCATCATTTCAGATTGATGCCTTTCTGAGTCAAGAATTTCATCTAGTTTGACGTCAAACTTCACTGATACTAGGAAACATGTCCAAATGGTCGAGCAAATTTGATCAATTTACATTAGTGAATGTGACTCATTACAGACGCATTGTTATTGTACGCTTTTGAGTTGCGGCATAAGATATAAGATGCAAATTGATGTGATTGTAATCGTCTCGGCTGCTTAGCGAAACGCAGTGGCTACTGTGTTGTAGATAGAACACACTCATTGCTTTTGATGAATTGATTTTGACAAATTGCAACGATATTGCTTTCGATTGAATTTGTCTGAGTAGCGATTAACCGACTCAATACTTTCGAACAAATTCATGCGATAATAATGTTTGCTATTCCAAATGAATGACCTGAGACATGTGATTGTTTGATACGGTGGATTTTTCACATCAAGTGAGATTCGGAATTTTGCTAGATTTGAATTGCCGGAATTAATGCGGATTCACATAATGTTGCCTCGGTCTCTGAAGAAATTTTTATAATATTATGCTTGAACGACCAACGAACAATATAATACAGCTAATTGATTAATGTCGGTGAATCATATCGAGCGATTAACGATCAATATTGATCCGTTGTCGCTTCTTTTGTCACTTCTGATGTCACTCTTTCATTAATCCGTTTATGCTTCGGTTTCGCAGTGTGCAGAAGCACNCCACCACATGCCAACTCGATTGGTCGGCCTCGCCGAGATTCATTCATTGAAAGCGTTTCACATTTACATGCTCTACCCTCGCGCCTCGCCAAACATCTCTGCAACACATCATTCTCAGTTAGATTGCTCCAGTTTGCAGAATTATCCGAAGCGTTTCTCACATAATCACAAAAACATCACAATTGCATTTAGATCGCATGCACAACAAGTGTTGACGAACGGCAAACCAACAAGAGGAAGCGTATGCATTTCAATGTTTTTCGCAGCAGTGTTCTGAAATAACACCTAAATTAAAACAAGCAATTAATGTTTCCAACGCTCCGATCCAACATCCACCATTGACTGAAAAAATGTCAACATAGCAGTAGGAGCTTGCCTGGTGCAGCAATAGAATCTATTCACAATTTTTTGGTATAGTAGCGTATGTACGCTAACAACAGTAGTTATAAGGCAAGGTTAATGAGCAAATTTCCTAATGGAATTGAACAAAAAATTATATTTGATCTCGAAAGCGAAGAAATTATCTCTACCGGCAGATCTTCTTAAGAATGCCATCTCAATGAAGTTCATGAATTTATTTATTCAATCGACAAAGCAATCCACTGAATGCGATGAAATCTGTATATCACCTGCGAGTAGATTTGGCGCTAATCAAACGACTTCTTGAAATCAGTGCACAAAACACGGAGTGTGATAAGCTGTGAGTCATTTATCTGATAAATTAATTATTAGATGTGGCAAAAAACTGCATCAATAGGCGACGTTCATCAAGTGAGACCCGAACAAATGCTCGTTTAGGAACGAAAAACGTTAGCAGGAAAACTACATTTCGTGCCCAGTTTGCTCAACTATGCAACTCCATCGAAATGTGACGCTAACTTTATATTTCCATTGAAATTAGGTATCAACGAAAATGATACAATATATTTGTGCGAGCATGGTTGTGCCAGTACAGAAAGCTTTGAAATGTGTGCTAAATCGAACAAGCAGATTCTTTGCATACAATAATTTAGGACATATCAACCTAGAGAGTGAACGAAACGAGATCGTTGCATACAACAGATAAACTGCCATTTTACAGTGGATGTTAGAAACTGACGATGAGCGAAAAAAAAAATGACATAATGACAGCAGTAGTAATAATGGATATAAAATGAACACAATATGTACATTAGAAGATGGGTTTTTATGCAGAGAAAAGATGTGTAAAGCAACAGAACGTTTAGGGGATGAGCGAAAGGTGAGAAAAGGTATTGAAAACGGATGCGAACTTCAACAATTGTCCGACGAGAAACGGTGTCAACGGTACAGTCTTCAGCTAGCAATCGAAAAAATAGTAAGCGATTGAGTGAGAACAACTTCCGATTCGTGTAAACTAGTGCGTAGCTTTGTTTGTGGTTCAATCGGAGGTGTGCCAGAAGGAATATGTCAAAACATTTGACATTACTTGATCGACTATTTTTGTTGGATGTTAGCTGCCGGCTTTATCAGTTGAGTGCTCTCCTGTAAATAATCATCACTGATATCATCATTAGGTAGCTGCGAAATTTATGTGAGAAAACGTGTTAAATGAATGAAGTTGTGTGAATCCAGACCACGTCAAAATGGCTAAATCGTAAAGAAATCCCTCAAAAGTGCTGATCAACCATAACTGATCTGCATGATCAATGGTTCACGGCATCCAACTGATACACCAATTAAGTGCCGAATCGAGCGATTCCCCTATCGGTTCAATACAATGAACTATAATGTAATAAAGTTGCAGACCAAATGCAGAACGCGATTATAGCAAGCAAGAAAAGACTTTTTGAGTGTGCAAAATGTGCTCCTGATAGCCTGCCAACCGAAAGCGTCAAGCAAACGAATGAATCCGTTGGTTGCATTAAATGCTAAGCGTGATGAAAACCGTTAGTCAAATATTGAAATATTGTTAGAGAAAGTGATAGTTTAAAGACGCACAACGTATTCTGATTGATTTCTTCAACAATTAGAAGCCTGCAATAAGGACAATAGTGTACCACGAAACTGCTGGGCGCATAGCATTAACAACGGGAAAATTACGGACTCATTACACGAATGATTTTTTATCAATTAAAAATCGTTCAACGACCACAAACTTCACAATGAGTTTCTTTTATAGCTTATGCACCAAAAAATCCGTCACAAATTCTTGGCTTTCAGCGAACAATTATTGTCCTACTGTCGACCTATTAAGTTTACCTCCTCACTGAAAGAAGTCGTTCACGAAACCTAATTACATTAAATAAAGCCTCAAAGCCTTAATTGCATGAAAAAGCCTCAAACGACTAAATATTTCTTCATTCTTGACATTAGAACTCAATCGACTACGAACTTTCAATGCGTCCGTTATATTCTGATTCGCATTGCTATGAAATCCCCAAACGTTGTCATTATTTGTGAACATTGTGGCCTAACATCTTCAACTCAACTCTTTATCCACTATTTACGTTCACAAGTGAGTTGGTTGATAATTCGAGAAATGATTCCAATAAATGAATACAATTTTCGTCCGCAACGTTTATGATCTAACAGGAAATCATTAACTCGACCAATTAAATTCAATAGCGAGTTTAATCATACCTCCTCTCCGTCAGATTCGCTCTTTGACCGTCGACTTAACGGAGATGCAGCATCGTGCGGTGATTGAGGTGCTATTGGGGACGAATCTGAATGAAAGATAATGAATTCTGCTCAATACAAGATGTTGATTTGCTGGCAAGGAACTGGATGGGTTCCTCAGTTACGAGAATCAAGTAATTTATACGAACCAATATTTTCGAGTGGTATTGTTTCCAATTCTGTGGGACGTCCACTCTCGTCATTCAACTCGCCTTCAGTTTGATCATCCAATAAACACGGCACTTCCATCGGCACTCCCAATGTCTCCTGCCGCCTCAAATTTTAATTTCTCTTTTGGAATGTTTGTTTAATTTATTATTTAGTAGTTGAAAACACAAAAAAGTATTTGATTATACCGACGACATTACCGATCAAAGACATCTGATTACATCAGTAAAGTTTATCGGGGTCAAATCAAAATGACTTGCAACGAGGACTGAAACAAAAAAGAACTGATTGCGCATGTTTCAGTTTTCATTCGGATCGATCGTTCGACACTCCAACGAACATACCCGATTTCTCGTTGCATCAGTGTTGCTCTATAGGCGTTTATATAGGTGGTTGTGGTGATCTCAAGAAAGGTGCATTCATCAGGAACGGTGATTGAATAGTCGGGCACGAACGCCAAGTCCGGACGCCTTATTGCATTCAACTCACCTGCATCTGAATTCATTGAATCAATTCAGGTGAATAGAAGAACTCTACGAGAACCAACGAAAAACATGGCAACACTATTGTGAATCATTCGAATGACACATACGTCGAAATTTCATTTTTGAGAACTTCTTGCAATTGCTTCGTAAAATTCGTGCTTAAAATACTGAATGCTGATCACTGAATCGACCAAAAATTATTATTTCATTTAATACATCCGTTCATTGCCATTTAAGCGCACAAACCTGCAATTGATGAGCTTCTCGCTAAGTTCTTTGCATTGGCCAGTAATTTTTTCATAACTTCACCTCCGAAAGAATGCCACGGACCCGCTTCAAAATTCAGCTCTCCCTGAAATTCATTCCCAATACAATCTGAGAAGAAATTTTCAATAAGGACCAGATTTGAACATTTTCCACACTGGTTCCTGATGGAACGGTTCATTTTCAATGATGCCACATAAACATTCACTTAATTCACTCGGCAATTTCGTTTGTCATCTCTTATTCAGAAAATCTTATTGATTGCGTGACAAGATGCCCTTGATCATATTATCTCCAGCAAGAGATCCTTCTTGATTCGGCTGCATCCATTGATGTTGGTTGGAAACTTTCAGACGTATCGAGAGTATGCATACGCCCAACGGCATAAGAATATGAACTGCACGCTAACCTTTCCTATAGTTACAGTCGCGCGGCCTTCAAGTATCAAGATGAATCGATCACTTAATTCACCTTTGGTGTAGAATTTTGCAATTCGAGGTACGACAACTGGTTCACCACCTGATAAAGCCATCAACGATGAAACGTCCACCTGAAAACTGCTTAGAATGTTGCTTGGCATCGATGGCCTCTAAAAGCCATCGCAGTGCTTGATGAATGATTCCTATGAAGCTTTTCGAAACATCAACTTGTGGCTAACTCGCAAGTACTTCCAAAATCCAGGTGGCATAACCAAAAATTTGCAATAATTTGCAAGCCAACCAAGTGTTCACGCTTAGTTTATCGCTTTTCGATGCACCATTTTTGATGTGCGATAAAAAGTTGCGATACCAAATCACTGAATCGGTCATAAATTGATTGATAGCAATTAATGAAATAACCTACGTGACGGGCGCAAGTTCGAATCAATCTCTGCAGAACACCACGATCGATGAGACTCTCATCGAACGCTGGCTCGTTCGCAACCAGCCACTGTTCAGCGACCAGCTGAATCTGCATGGAAATTTGCGTTTCTGCCGTTTCTTTCTCGAAAAATTTCGATAGGTCTCGATTCTGAAACAGCTTCACTGATTAGACTTATTCTCTTCATTCCGTTTCCTGACGATGATGAGATGATGAGATAATAAGTCCATGAATTTTACCACGTAAAGTTCATTCAGTTTTATATCCGTATATATGTTCCGTCTGTCTAGTGAACATTAAGCGAATGCCTCAACTAAGCAAATTAGCTGGGATACTGTAATGCTCTCATACGCTGTACTGAATGAACAGTGAATTTCGCAGTGTTCGTTATTGGGCAAAATTGGAAATACGTTTCCGATAAGGAAGCAAATCGAAAGTAGACCTGATAATTGATCCTCTTGATACGATTAACATTATCGGTAATGACGTCAAATTCATCAACAATTTCAGCCTGTAGAATCTCTTCAACGATATCCTCCAACGTAACAATACCAACCAATTCGTACAATGGATCACCACCAGAATCTGGTGCCAACTGTCTCACCATCGCTAAGTGTGCATCTCCCTTTAAAATGATTCATTCTAATTCGCCATCAGTTCTTAATCCATTGTAAATTGTGTTTTTGTGGGCCGCGGAAACTGAGGTTTACTCAAAAATAAGAGGAAATCTTCAATTGAAAGCAGGAACGTTTTAAAACAAGCTATTGTGATGTTTTTGACGTTAAACAACGTTGAAGCATAAAAGTTCCTTAATAGTCGATCAAGAACTGCTTCATGTGTTATTTTGAAACACTGAAAGGATCACGAAGAGCACCCACCTTTTTGAATTCTTCGAGAACACCGCGCAACGGTGCATCGCTATCAACGAATTTCACCGGATGTTTATGATAGCCGCAAACTGTTTTAATCGTAAAATTATCATCCGGATCAATCAGCGCTAAATCCTTGACGAACAGAATATCGGTGACCGTGTTCTTATGACCGTGCGCATACACTGGTATTCGCGTGTAGCCCATTCGCACAATTTCGGCGATATTCTTTGTGTTGAGCACCGTTGTATCGGGAAGCATAAAAACGTCCTGAATTGAGGTGTTTTACACTTATCTGTCATAATTGTTATGCGAGTGCACATTATCAGGAGCTGTTCGGTATCACTTCTACCATTTTGCAAAGTTATATCCGTCAAATTACTTTATTCCCATTCTTTTTCGGAAACACTAACTACGGTTCACGAATTGTGATTGCGGCATCGTTTCGAAAATTCGGGTGAAATATTGACTGCATTCAACTTCATTCAAATTTTAATCAATCTTATCGATGAGAAAAAAACTCCTCGCTAAGCAGGATCTAATGTTGAGTATACCAGGTAGAAATAGAAGAAACTTACAGTGATTTTTGTCATGACATCCTTTACAACCTTATCGGCGATTTCCATCGCACCAACTGCTATTTTCAGTTCATCCGCAAGTCCACTTGTATCATCACGCACCGACAACTTTATCAATTCCATTAACCGCTTCCGATCGTACGCAACCTCAAAGCTCCAATCATTCAAAGCTATGAAATTTATCCTTTTTTCATGACAATGGTGATTCTGTCTAAGCATTTATATTATTCTCTTTCCCTTAGAACGTTGATCATCAGATGCTTTAAACCAAATGATGCTTCACACTGTTGTTTTTTCGTGATTAACGCATGCTTGTAACGGTTCCATTTTCCCCCAAGTCTTTCTCCAGTACAACTCACTCCAGGTTTGCATCGAATCGATAACTTTTACTTTACGCAATGAAACCAAAATTTATTGCGTAACGGAATATTTTAATGAGTAACTGGAAAAAACGCAAAAAATGTTTGGCACATTTGAAAAACATACATATTCATCGCCCAAAAGATAGTCCAACAATTTGCTGATTGGCCATGCGAGTGGGAATGTCATCAAAATGAAGAGACGTGTGATAAGAATTGTATTCGCACCGATGGCTAATCCCTTCCTGAAATGACCGTTTTAGATCAAAGCAAAACTGATCACCGATTCATTTCTTCCACAACAATTAATCATGAGATCCTCATCAATATTCAGCGATGTGCGATTTACGGGAATCGAAAGATCAGTCAAAAAGGAAAATGAAATATCTTTAAATAAAATAAATTTTTCTAAATGAGGTGTTTCCATCGAACAATTAATAAAAACATATTTGATAAGAATTGCATTCACATCGATGGCTAATCACTTGCAATTGTAACTGCAAATTTTTTCCCACTGTACGTGAGAAATTTATGGAAACGTCAAAAGGGCATTGAAAAACTATTTAAGATCGGTGTTGAGAGCAACATCTGTTCATTCAGGAACTGGTATTAGGTTTGGTTGACTAAAGGAGGCAATTGAAGCGAAGTCATTCTCGTGCAAAATTCATTAATGTTAGTGGTATTGATAAGCAATGTTCCAATGCTGCAGTATGAGTGTGTTTCCAGTAATAGAGTACCAAAATTATGATCTTCGACAAGCAAACCTACTTAACGCAAATACTTTGTGGTATAATCTCTCCAAAGACCACGATTCCAGCTGATGAAATGAACAGTGCGAGAAATCCACTGGTTAGATCACCGAAAAGAATTGAAATGGCCGAGTTTACGATCACATTACCAAGCAGTAGTGCACACAGTAACAAATTACCCTTTCGACGAACCGGAAGAATAGCCGAAGCGTAACTTTGTTCGGTTGGGGAACCTTAATACAATCATACTGAATTCAGCATATTGAACAAGGCTTGAGTTTATCCATGACCTTCTATTGAAGTTTCACATTGTGTAGTTATAACTAAAAATTATTTTCCCTCTCTATGTTGTTTCGTCTTTCATCTAATACCAGTCAGCACTCAGCGATCGAGTGCATTAAGCAAAACAGTTTCTGCTAACCTGACTTTTCCACCAGTTCAAGTTCCATTGGTGTCAGCGACATGAGGCCAAGTGTGAGACCTGAGAAGAGTGCTGACAAAACTAAGAGACATGCGATAATCGAGACTTGGATAGGCAGTGGAAGATAATGCTCTCGCGGTGGATGTTCAGTTGTGAAAAACGTGCGAACATCGTCCAACTTAAAATTCAATCACTTTTAGCAAACTGTTCCAATGAATCAGAAGAAAACTTGAAATTCATCAGATGATTTCCGTTCTCAATCGATAAACCCTCGTCAACCGAACATCAAGCTTAAGTCGCCGTTCTAGTCGATGAATAGTATATCGCTTTCGTTGGCAAATTGCTAATTCCACTTTAATCTTCTCTCAAATATTCACGAGTTCAGCATGACTAGTGGAGTGAGGATTGAAGTGGTATAAGCTTTAAATCAACCTAGCTCTAAATCTTCTAGTTCTGATAACTGTTCGTATGCACTAGTTCATCAATTCTGATGAACCATAGCGAAGTGAGAATTTTTCGCACGGTTGAAGTGACTAAACTGAAAAACGCAATAAACTAACTGGTTTCAAATCAACGTTTAACGCCGGATTGCGCTGTCTAACACATGTTTTGTAGACATCAACATCTCCAGGTAAGAGTGGTAATGAGAGCATAAAAATAGCTTTATGATCGAAATGTATCAAGAATTGATCAGCTGTCACCGTTCGTGTGACGTTTTCGCATTGATTATCAGTGGTGAATGAAATCTGTAATTACAGCTGATTGATTAATTTATTTAATGTACCCTGCACAATTTTATGTGTACCACTTTTCCACATTTGATCAGCTTTTCATTCACTTATTTCCAATCCTTTCAATTGATAAAATCCAATTTTTAACGATCCGCATCTCATTGTGATCTCATCCGAACAGGATCTGTAAACAATACCAGCCAAATTTTCATCATCCATCCGTTTAAAATCGCCTATCACTGAGTAATTGAACGGTTTCAGCAATTTCCCTCGTCCTCCAAGTATCTCAAGCGATTCAAGTAAAAGCGATACGAAACTTTCAAATTTTGATAATTGTTTTTAATTCTTTGCTTTGCAATATCGCAACATTGAGATTTACTCTTACAGCTACATTTCTGAGTTGAACGAAAGCAATTAGAAATCGTCATTCGGTGACAGAGCGAGTGAATTGTGCGTTAGTGATTATGTACATTTAAGATACTCTCACAAAATTGTTATTCTGCATGTTATAGAAAACAATTAAGCGTCACCATCTCTTCTGGGCGTATTTTATCAATGGCATAAGGAAAGTCTTGAACGAAATGGCAAAAACACTCCGATGTTTTATTCAATTGTTGTCATGAAAGTGGCAGTAGCACAAATCGGTAATTGTTATGGATTACGCTCAAGCACAGGATTCGGCTTAGGCTGTTATCTCAGGGAACCACCTATTTGTTTGATAGTTACCCTAGCCACGCTATGATAGAACCAACTTTTTACATAACAGCTGTCTCAACCCCGTTATGATCCTCATCCTAAGCCTGAGCCAAAATATGTGTCATGCGTTGTCATGAATCTATCTCAAGTACGCACTTTGTATACTATTCGTAAACAACCCGCAAACACCCATTAATCATCTAATCGCACGAAAACACGTGCAAAACATGTTCAAGTAAATCGCTTCACCACATGCATCATATGTTACAACTGAATCATTCCCAGAGGAGGATCTTTCATCGACTGAACATCAAGAATTCATTATTTCCATATGTGAGCGCTGGGAGTTGCTCATGTTCATATTGAAAAAACAGATCAGAATGCAACATACCGATGCGAGATATTCCAGGTTCAATCCAAAAATAACGATTTTAATCTCAGTATCCGGATTTATAATGCAGGCTCCTTTTGCACTGCAACATGAAATATATTATGGCTTTATAAACATCAAAGATCTCTTCTATGAGAATCCTTTAACATGTTTATGTCTTCGGAAAAATTTTTCAAGTGATGCTCATCGCCAGGTCACATTAGCATTGCTTTTGTCTGGTGCTGATTTAATAAAATAGAGCTGTGCTCATCCGAGAGCAACGCTCTTTCATTTGNCGATAATAACTCCAACGGTCAATATATTAATCAACACATTACAGCAGCTCATTGAACTAAAAAAACATTCAGCTGATTCGTGTGTTTATCAGCTATTGCAACTGCGTGCGTAATGAACGGATAAATCAAATTTTGTTTTAGAATTAATTTTGGAGCCATTCATTGCCATCACATTACTGGTATTCACGAGTTTCTTCCGAACAACAAAAAAATCAATTGCAGTGCTCATAAGACAGCCACGCCTCTCTCATTAGACGTTCTCAGCTCAATGGGCAAGAAATAGAAACTTTGATAAGTCTCTGATTAGCCGTTTTAACGCACATGATGCATGACTAAACAAACTTTTTATGTTTAAACCACTTTCAGTTATTATTCAGTCAGATTACGTTAGCAGCGATATTGACATCACAACGAGTATAATACGCAAATTTTAGCGACCAACAACCAATGAACAAAGAATCATTGGAGCTTTGGTCATGTATTGACGATAAGGATTCTCCGGGAAAGGAAACGTATTGCGACAAAATAATCCAAAACGATTTGCATATGCATGAGCTGTCATCATTTCCAATGCAGATAGCAAACGAGACGTTTACGTGGACGATACTGCTATTCAATATAATACATCATATATTCGACTGTGATTGTGACAAAAATGATATCTGGGAAAAAGTGAACTAAAAATGAGAAACAACTATGGCAAGAACTCCTTTCGAAGCGTTGAAGCAAATGCGACCGATGAACAAGTGAGGAAATACCAATCTGTTCAAAATTATCGACAGACTTCACGAAAAAATTTACCAGCTGCACGCGAATGCGCACTCTGAACATCTAATTGCGTATATTTATTGTCGGTAATGTTTGATCAAATTTTAGTGTCAGTGAAAGGTGATACGGATGCGAAATGTAACAATTACACATGGACAATATTCGAACGTTGTAAGAGAATATTTGTTGTTTTTAACTGAATCAGGCTTGAAACGCTAGCGTGAACAGCTGACGCGTGAGATAACGAAAATCAAAACAAATTGTTTTCGAAGACTACGATTGTGATCATAAACACTGCTCGTAATACATTCGTTATTTTGGTGAGCATCTGTCGCAGTTGCATTCTCTTAACTTCGAACTCACAATCGCCACTTCATCCCGCTGCGATCGGTTCCTATTAGATTCAGTATGTCTTTCCACTCTTTGTGTCCCAATACGTCGACATTCCAAGGGAAATTTACACACTTCTACCAGTTACTGAAAATTGAAAAAAAAAACAACTTTAACACTGAAAAAATTCTTAACTGGCGCAATGTTTTCAAATAATAATGTGAGCTTAATTCTAGGCAATATTATCGCGTTGCATGCGCCTTCGATGGACAGTTCTTTGATCATTGAGGAGCACTTTTTCACTACGCTAAAGAATATTCCCACTTTACACTACGTAAGATTTCTTCAGTCAACAAGCGATTTGTTATGATTAGATGGCCGTTTAAAACAACTGAATGTTTGATGTATCTCAAATGACTGAACAATAAATCGGATGCCGACAAATTTTCAAACAATAACTTCAGCGTTGTGAAAATAATCGCTATTTCGTTTAAAACAAATGATCCTCCCGTAGATACAGTCAGAAGAGAGAACCACTTGGCGTGGATTAGTAATAGTCCGAAAACGGAGCAGTGCTAATTCGTGTGATTTCTACGCTAGCGAGAAATCGCGTGATTTAGCTCCATTTGCTTGATTATACGGTTTGCCGCTGCTCTCTCACAATACCTAACTGAGGAACGCAGAGCCGCAATGATATTATAATTTCAACATGATTGCAGTGAAATTTCTAGCAAAATATGCAAAATATGAAATTGTTTCTTAAAAATGAAAAAGACATGAAGAGACTAATGGAAACAGAGCACTAGACAGACCGACGCTAGTGGTGGAATAAAAATCCATGGTAATCAACTTTTTCGAGCAACTTTTCATGGACTATACAGTAATCGGAGTTGCCTGACTCACCAATCGCATGAATCACTATGAAATGAATTGCGAAAATCCATCGTCATGCAAATTCGATCGAAAATTGACGACAATTTTGCTCATTCAAAATCAACACACTCTTCTGGCAGTCAATACGCTATAATGGGATGCATTTGAACAAAAAACCTGAAACGTTTCAATTTCCCAACAAATTGTCCATGATCAACAAATCGCTCATTTAATGTGAAAGTGCATCGAAAACTTGAACTTCTCTCAATTTTGTTTTCGCTNCTAAACGTTGCTCGCTTTTTGGAGAATGTTAAACTGTTTGATGTGCGTGATGAAGCAAAAGCGTGAAACATACAATACGATTCATAGAGGATCAAATGCTTACGGATAATCGGAATTGTTTACGGTTTTTAGAATTAATGAAACCATTACAAATGGACATTTATCAACAATTCTCCCGTTTCTCTTGAGGTCATTGCTCTAATATTCAAAATTCTGTGCACAAGCCACATAAAATCAGTTCAGAGCTTTTGCAAATTATGCACGCTGAACTGGCAGTTCTGCAGAAAGTCAGTCATTCACAAACACTGCAAATATTTTTGTGTGTAAAAGATAGAAAACAAAGGGTGCATCAGACGATGTAAAAGGCAATCAGTTACGTATGAGAGAAAAACAATGGAAATGGCATGATTACGGGTCTTCCAAACAACATTTAATCGTTCCCCCACTTGAAACACGGTATTTCAAAAGAAATCAATTTTCTACGCTATGATCGATCGCGATATGTGCCGACACTCATGCAGTATTTAGTTCTCAGTGGAATATTCCGAGATAAGTCGCGAGTAATGAATCCTTAGCTGAGCCATTTCTGTGAGCAAGCAATGGCTCGATAGTTCGACAGTAAGATCCGGTGCAAGTAAAAACAGATTCGGTCAAAGCCAGTGATGAACAGCAACGGCAAGTTAGCAGGAAGAGCATTATTGAGACGTCACACAGAAATTGCAATTGGCCAAATGTTGATTTATTCGTTTTTATAGCATAGTGTTGTGCGGGGAGTCCCCGAATTCGGGGTCCCCCTGCTCCAAATCCTCGTCCCTGTCCCCGTCCCCGAACTCACCGTTTCCGTCCCCGTCCCCGACTCATTTTGCTCTCCCCGCACAACACTAGTATAGCATATGTACACATTTTATCAGTAATTTGCCCACATATTTCGGTCTTCATTACTGTCGCGTTGTTGTCAATTTGAAAATTAGTCAAAGAGCAAAATTTCCCGACCTAAAGAGTATAAGAAGTTGATTTGCATTTCGAAAACCATACAGCAGCGAATATTCATGGATATTACACAGAGGAATGGGGAATATTCAAGAATGAGTTGTTGGGGTGCTAAATTTGCATCTGCTCACCATACCTCTGACCATTTCTATCTCATAGTCAGAGACTTTAATATATTTGCTGAGCGTATGGCTGGTTACAAGCGTCTTACAAAACACTTACGCCAAGCGGTTCGTTAATCACTCGCTCTGTGGCATGATCAAGGATAAGAAATTCGGCGGAAGTGGCTATACCATGACATGCATTATGTTCTTATCAAAACTCATTCTCTTAAAATCGCTGAACAGTCTGAACTATATCCCAATACATCCATTCGAACATGCTCCGAGTCGAGTAGCTAGCATTTACTC